ACTTCTTCTATCTCTGATCATTCTCCTGCAGTGGTTACTGTGTCTGAAGACATTGTTTCCTTTAAGAAACCTTTCAAATTTTTTGACTTTTGGTCAAATCATGAGGACTTTCTTCCTGCTGTATCAAAAGTGTGGAATCAATATATTCTGGGAGTCCTTATGTTCAGAGTTTGTCAAAAACACAGACAACTGAAACCTGTTTTTAAGGCCATGAATAAAAAGGATTTCAGTGACATTTCTACCAGAGTTTTGGCCACCAAATCTAAGTTGGACTCTGTACAATGGAAGTTGGATAAGGACCCTGGCAAGCTTGAGCTACATAGACTTGAGAGAACTCTCTATAAACAGTATGTTGATCTAACTATGGTTGAAGAGAGTTTGGCTCACCAAAAATCTAGGGTTCAGTGGCTTAAATTGGGGGACTGTAATAGCAAGTTCTTTTTAAAGACTATTAAGGGTAATATTAATAGGGGTAAACTTTTTAATATTGAGTTAAAGGATGGGAGTATATCCAACAAGCCTGAAGAGATTCAAAATGCCTTCATAAATTTTTACTCTGACTTGTTTGGTACTCCTATTGCTGGACATTATGATGGGTTTGAAAGAATTAATGCCCTTGTTAAGTCTAGGGTCTCCAATGATCAATCTGCTCTCCTTGCTAGACCAGTGACTAATCTGGAGATTAAGGATGTATTTTGGTCTCTTAAACCTAACAAGGCCCCTGGCCCTGACGGTTATCCTGCTGGTTTTTTCAAAAAATCTTGGGATATTGTTGGTAGAGAGGTCACCCAGGCTATTAGAACCTTCTTTGAGTCTGGAAAACTTCTCTCTGAAGTCAATAGTACAATCATAGCTCTCATCCCTAAAGTTCCTAACCCTGCAAAAGTGGGAGACTTTAGACCCATCTCTTGTTGCAACACGATATACAAATGTATAGCGAAGATCATTGCTAATAGGATTAAAGAGGTCTTGCCTGACCTCATTGATCCTGTGCAATCAGCTTTTGTGCAGGGCAGGAGAATTTCTGATAATATCTTCTTGTCTCAAGAAATTTTGAGGGGTTATCATAAGAATTCCACTACCCCTAAGTGTGCGATGAAAGTGGATATTATGAAAGGTTATGATAGTGTGAGATGGGAGTTTATCATTGATATTCTTAAAGCCATGGCTATTCCGCCCATTATGATCTCCTGGATCAAGGCTTGTATGACAAGTCCTTCTTTCTCTGTTTGCATCAATGGGAGCTTGCATGGTTACTTTAAAGGTGCTAGAGGTCTTAGACAGGGAGATCCTATGTCTCCTTATCTCTTCGTATTGGCTATGGAAATCCTAGCTAGAATTTTTGTAGAGAAGTCCAATCATGCTCTATTCAAGTTCCATTGGAGGTGTGAGAAACATAAGATTGTCAATCTTTGCTTTGCTGACGATCTTATGATCTTCAGTCGTGGGGATGCACCCACTGTTAGTTTAATCATGCAAGGTTTGGAGGAGTTCTCTTCTCTTTCAGGCCTTACCCCTAGCTTCAACAAAAGCAATATTTACTTCTCTGGATGTAATGGGAATTTGAGAGAGGATATCCTCAAAATTGCTAAGTTTACTGAGGGTACTCTTCCTGTCAAATACCTTGTTGTCCCCCTGATTACAACTAAGCTTAGGGCTTCGGATTGTCAAATTCTCATTGATAGGATCACAAATCGTATTAAGAGCTGGACCAATAAAGCTCTTTCTTATGCTGGTAGAGCTCAACTCATTCAGACCATTCTCTTTTCTATGCAGGTTTACTGGTCCTCTCTCTTCATCCTCCCCAAGAGGGTTATTAGAGAGATTGAGGGTATCCTTAGAGCTTTTTTCTGGTCGGGCACGTATCTTAAGAAACATAGTGCCAAAATTGCTTGGGAAAAGATTTGTGTGCCAAAAAATGAAGGTGGTCTTGGTTTTAAATCTTTAGAGGTTTGGAACATGGCTGCTATAACCAAGCATATTTGGTTCCTCTTCTCTGGAGGGGAGATGTCTATGTGGTGCCAGTGGGTTAAATCGTATTTACTTAAGGGCAGAAGTTTCTGGAAAGTAAAGGTACCCCACAACTCATCTTGGGTTTGGAGGAAGATTATAGCTCTTAGGGATAAAATATCACCTCTTATTATCCACAAAATAGGTAGGGGTGACTCTACCTTTTTATGGTATGATAATTGGCATCCTCTTGGTCCTTTATGGAAAACATTTGGGGACAGAATCTTGTATGACTCTAATCTTAACAATGAGACTAAGGTCAATCAGATTGTGGATGGGGTTTCTTGGAAGTGGCCTGTCCCCAACTCTTGGGAAATAAGGGAGCTGATTTCTTCCACCCCCACTAGCTGCAGACCTAACCCTCCATTGGATGATCAACCTACTTGGTCTCTTTCTGATGGGAAATTTACTATTAATGCTGTTTGGAATCATTGGCGGCTTAAGCTTGATAAAGTTGTTTGGCATAAATTTATCTGGGGGGCTCACCAAATCCCTAGGGCTAGTTTTGTTATTTGGATGACTATCCAGGAGAGACTAAATACTGGTGATAGGCTTCAGCTATTTGGCATCTCTCCTACACCAACTTGCCCCTTTTGCCAACATGTTACTGAAACTCATTCTCACCTCTTTTTTGATTGTGTCTTCTCTGCTAAAATCTGGACTGAAATCAAAGCTAAATGTAATGTGCAGTGGCCTGACTTTCAGTGGCCTGGCATTATTCCCTTTGCTACTAGAGAGACTAAGGGAAGGTCATTAAGATCCATTATCATCAAAATGTCATTGTTGTGTTCTGTTTATATTATCTGGCTTGAAAGGAATAACAGAATTTTCAATAAAGAATTCAAGCCAGAAGAAGTGGTTGTTAAAATTATTGTCCAACTGATCAGGGGTAGACTGTTGTCTATCACAAATGTTCCTAGAAATGCAGGTGACAACTGGTACATTGACCATTGGAATTTGCCTGCTACTGTTTTGAAGCCCCATGCTCTCGAAAATGGGAGGGCTGCTGAGTGATGTGAGTTTATTATATGAGGGTTGAGTGAATGTAAGCAAACTGAGTGCTTTTCCTAACTGTTTTCTTCTTATGTAGTAATGAGAAGTGCTTGGAATTCAATGAGGGTTGAGTGTTGTGAGTCCAAATAATGACAACTGACAAAATCGTGGGTTGAGTGATATAGCTACTCACAAATGTTTTATCTAATGTTTATATATATTGTAAGCTTTATGTGCAGGTTATGGTGTGTAATGGTGTGCTGCAATGCTGTGTGGGTTGAGTGATGAGAGCCTATATATTGTGTGCTAAATTCCAAATACTACAGAGTGATGTGAGATTATTGTGGGTTTAGTGATGTGAGATATATATTGTGGTACTAGTACTAATGGAATCTGTCCATAATCACTAATGGATTTTTCACTCCATGTTGGCAGGTCTTTCTATATTGTCTAGTTGAGGTCTACTACTTGGATTGGTTCTTGGGATATTTGGCTCGAAGCTGGCAGCTGAATGCGCCGCTGGATGTTTCTTCAGGGATATAAGCTGTTTTCCTTATTTGTTTTTAACGATGTTAGTTACTTTACCTATCCTAGTGGGATGTGCTAGGAATTAAGTGATCCATGTTGACCTGTTTTTGTCTTTACTTTTGCTTTACTGTTTGGTGCTGGTTTGTTTTGCGTCTTGCACCTAGATATGTGTTGCACAGGTCTGTTTTGTTCATCAAACCTGTTTTCGGTTTTGGTGCCGATGTTTTGTGCTGCTATGGGGCTTTTTAGTTCTCGGTTTTGGGCTGTTCTTTCGTAGTGTTCATTATCCCTATCTCTCTTGATATGGTTGCTGAACAGTGTGTTTTTGGTTTCTCTTTTTGCGTTATCTCTTTGGTTTCTTGGTTGCTGATCTTTGCTGTATAGTTGCTGTAGGGCCTGGGGTATTCCCCTTGTAATCTTGTATATCCTTTGTCTTTAATTTATGTCTTATTCACCCAAAAAAAAAAATGATGAGGGGAAGAACTAGGAGAGAGGCAAATATCAAGCACCAAAAATACTTCAACATTCCAAATAAATAATAACTACAAGTTCATAACACCTGCAATCAATTCATGGTCATTTTTTTTCAAGTTTTGTTTGTTTCTTGTTTGGTTGAAGGGCTATTTTTTATAAAATTAAACTTCTAAATAACTAAAAATCTCGGCAGTTGCCTCGCCCTCAATCTCCATCAACATCTCCAAATTACATGGACTACACTAACAGGAATTGCAATGTATGTAGAACTCTGAGCGTGAAGTAAAAGCAAAATTAAATAAGATGAGACAAAAACAATACACATTTTTTAACAATGGAAAAGTGGGGACATGCATATAGGAGTCACCCCCCCCAAAAAAAAAAAAAGAAGCAATAACATTATTCAATGGGAACTGCATTTTTATAACTAAAATCTATGGCGGCAGTGATGGAAAATTATTTGTACATCCACAAGCAAAGATGTAGGCAAGTTGCACCCTGCCATGACACAATATACATTGAATGCTTTGATTTTCAAGCTTTTCCAATAGAAGCCTCAGAGTAATACCAAAACAAAACTTGTCTCAATTCTACTAAAATAACTTTTTTACCTCATAAGAGAAAATTTGGTCTATAAATAGAGTGGAAGTTTTCACTGTAAGCAGGGGAACCAATGCATATATTAATGCTGAAACACATATTAAAGCTAAAACATAACATGAATTTCAAAATTACTATACAGAGTGAAAATATTGTGACATGCATCAAGAATAGAGTCAAAGTGAAAATATTGACATCATGCAATGCTATAGCAAAATAAGAGAGAGAGAGGAGAGATAGTGACTGGTGATTAAGAGCTTGATGAGGGTGTGTGGTCATAAAGCAATCAATGGATAGAGAAATCAATACCAGTAAAGATGACCACTAGAGGTTTGAGATTGAGAAATCGAAGCCACTAAGCATTGAAAAATCTTGTTAAGTTGCAGATAAACCCAGCTATGAAATCTTCAACACACTTCATGAAGCTTGTTCACCTGATCATATTGAAATCACATAAACAAAAATAATCACAAGAATAATCAAGCAATTTGATACAGATTTCAATTAATCTCAAGCAATTCTCAGCAAAATTTAAGCAATTCTCCATCACCAGAAAGACGATTTCAGAAAAATAAATAACTAGATTTCAAGATGCATGATGGATTTCAGACGATCTCACGCTTCTTCTTCTTCGTCTTAGGGTTCGAGTGTGGTTTAGAGGGTTTCTGTTGCTTCGTCTAAGGGTTTTTTTGTGCTTCGCCTTCATGTTCTCCATCAGAAAGACGATTTGAATAAGTCAATTTCAAAGGTTTTGGGTTTCTCAGATGGATAGAAGCTAGAGAGATAGAAAGGGTTTAGGTTTATGGAGAGAGAAAGCAGTGATGGAAGATAAGAGAGAGAGAGAGAGAGAGAGAGAGAGAGAGAGAGAGAGAGGCGTCAATAAACAAAGGAGTGAAAAGAGAGGAGACTGTTATAAAACCCTAATTTTGAAGCGGTGGAAAATTAGCGAGAGAGAGGGGTCTAGAAACAAAGGAGGGAAAAGAGAGTGAAAGTTGTGAAACCCTAATGTTTAACACGTTACCTTGGGGGTAAGTGGAAGCAAGCTTCAACCAACCAAGCTACCTTAAAATGTTGATATGGAACTGAAATTAATAATTTATATATATTTATATACTAGTGTGTGCCCGTGCCTAAAGGCACAGTATAAATATTGTTGAGATCAAAATGCAGTTATAATTTATACGTATCATGCTAAAATTTGTAAAATCTGTAACTTTTTTTGATAAAAATACTAAAAAAATATAAAGAAATATTCATCTTATGGATTAAAATATAATTTATCTAATTTGTTGAGCAAAAAAAAATTTTGAGGTCAAAATATAAATAGATGGTCCGTTTGGTTTGGATTTTCAAATAATTTTATAATTAGAGTTCGGTTGTATATTTTGAAAATAATTTTTACAAATTTGAAATTCAAAACTTATTTGGTTTACAGCTTTCAAAAATAATTTTTAAAATTTTCAATCTGTATTTTATTACTTTTAACATTTTTCCCTTTTTCAGATCCATTCAATCTGAATACACTTAAAAATTATAAAATTTAAAGTAATGTTATAAAATTTAAACTCAAAAATTTTTTAAATAATTTTTACAAATTTAAAATAAAATTTTATAATTTTGCATGATTTATGTATTTTCATGTATTTTAAGTATTTGAACTCAAATTATAATAAATAATACATTTTAATTATTTTTTTATATTTTGTATAAAATAAATACTAACAAAAACAAAAACATAATTTGTTCCCAAGAGAGTGAGGCGACGATGGCCGTGGCCGCGACGGACAACAAAACACACTTTGTGTCCAAGAGCCACAACAGCCCAAAAAAACAAAAAACAAAAAAAACTCTTCACCCCCACCCACCCATCCATCCTTTCTCGCTCATCTCACTTTTTCAAATTTCAAATTTTAAAACACACACTCACTCTCTCTCTCTCCCCTCAAAACACACTTTGCTACCCCAAGAAGAAGAGGCCAAATCTATAAAGGCCAAAAAAATAATCTTGCCATATTAAGTGTTTGAGAGAGAGAGAGAGAGAGAGAGAGAAAGAGAGAGAGAGAAGAGTATTTGGGCAGGAATCAAGTGTTTGGTACATTTGAAAGGATTGATCTTAACCACTGATACACACTTAGAATTAATTTAGACAATTAAAAATCATTTTGGACATTTTTAAAAATCATCCTGCCATATTATATAAATTTACCTTTGCCATTGTCACTATGTCAGGCACAATGCCTTGGGTCTCAAATCCCCAAAAATGGCTCCCAGTGTGAGCAAACCCAGATTGAACCACATCGGCAATACAAAGCCGTCATGTTTTCTGAATACTGATGTATATGGCAGGGAAGTAACCTGGGACCAATTCAATAATTCCACCCACTCCCTGCCAGTTTAGAGAGTAGTTCAAATTAGACCGTAACTCGGAAGTGGTTGTATTAATAGGAAAATGATATTCTCGCACAATTTTCGTATAGAATTTAAGGCAAAAATAATGTGGCAATGACACTCTTGCAATTATGAACCATAGTGATGTGCATTTGACTATCAATGCAGGGATATAAATGCGACACATCATTTTGCATAAATTTTTTTGTGTTAAATCCTGTGTGTACATCATTACCCTAATCAATATAGCCACAAAAAGAAACAATAAAAACAAATTTACATAAACGATGCTTACCTGTATGGCTTCAGAAATAAAACCAGCTACATGCCCTGAAGTTCCAAAGGTAATGAGATCTTCAACATCTCTTGCATACTTCTCCCTGTCTGAACCAAAGACTCCACTGTATGGATCTGGGTTAAGGGCATGGTGAACTCCGCTCTGTTGACCAATCCAAAAAGAATGCCAGGATTAGGGAACTGGATTATCTTTAATAATAATTTGGTTGCATTGCATTTGTGAATGCTAATTTATGATTACTTGGTTCTTTAGTTAAGAATAAATACAATATAAGGTAAGATTGGAAGCTTCACAAAATAATTTTTCTTCAATATGTTTAGTATCTTCAGCAATATCAACTGTAAAGTGTAAATGTTAACATAAAGCTACCAATGGTAAAATAAGAAAGTAAACAACACAATAATCATGCAAATAACAAACTAAATTAGGATATCCTCTAAGTTAACCTGTAAGTCTGTATTGGCCACGAATTCTAATAAAAACAGGAAATCAAACCCCAAATTACATATGTATTAATGAAATGAAGAAGAAGAACAGAGAGAGAAGGCGGAAAAATAACAAATAAACAACTCTAAAAATGTATGTATTCATGAAACAAAGGAGAAGAACAGGGAGAGAAGGGAAAAAATATCAAACCCACATCACACCAATCAACAAAATGTACATAACCTTGAAGCGAATGTACAATAAAGAGCTGCAGGAAGCCCGAAATTGGGGTAAAATACTGTTCTGTTCTTGAAGAGGACAGTGGGGTTTGAGCTGTGGCAAGCCAAATCAGTCAAAAACAAAAACAGAGAGAGAAGGGGAGAGGCAGAAATCGAGTGAAAAGACTCAATCTTACCTTGCGAGAGCACCGTCGGTAGCGAAGGGCGCCGAATTGAGCAGCGTAGCGAAGAGCCTGCAGAAGATTGTCTGTTCGGCACCGAAACAACGGCACCATCAAGCGGTGAACACGGAAGATCATCCTTCATGTCTGAACGCGATAAAGTACCTTCAAAATCGATACAATATGCTCTTGCTCATTGACCTCACTGAAATGCTTCTGCCACCGGTCCCAATCCCAGTCTTCATCATCAACCACTTCACTTCCTCTCTCGAAAACATCAACACTCTTCACAACACCTTTCGACTGGTTACGGTACGAGTTCATATAATCATCGAAATTCTTAACCGCGTTCCTTAACACCTCCTGAATCACCGAGTCCCACCGACAGTTAACGGGGGATGAGTTATCCAATGGAGAAGCTGAGGCCGAGTCATCGTTGTTGCTGTGGCACCGACAGAGTGCAGAATCGAAAACCCTAGAGAGAGAGAGTGAGGGCTTGATGAGAGAGAGTAGGAGTGCAAAGATGATTGTCTCAATCGGGAGGAGATTTTAGGGTTTTGGAAGGCGAATTTGTGGGGATTTGGATCGGAGTGAAGGTTTAGAGAGTCGACGCCATGAGAGAGAGATTAGAGAGAGAAAATGGTGAAGGATTGTTATGAATGTAGGGATGAGGATGATTTTCAGAGAGAGCGAGTTAAGAGGCGTTTGGCAGACGTGAGAGAAAGAGTGGAGAGTGTTCGGGCAGGAAAAAAATTAATCTCAACCATAGATATTGTTTAGAAATTATTTCAGCCATTCAAATAAAATGTAACATATTTTCAAAAATTGTTCAAACAAATACATTTTAACATATTTTCAAAAGTGTTCTGTCTTATAATGTAGATATTAGTTTTATCTTTATGCTTTTGTGTATATATAAGTTGTTTTCATTTTTTTTAAATAAGTTTTTATTTTTTCATCTCACTCATCACTTTTAGTCACCACTCACCACAACTATCAATGAATGGCGAGTTCCGACCAAATTTCGGTAACTCTCTAGGTCATCTCATATCCTTCGACATCTTCCAACTACTAAATTCGGCAAATAAGTTTGACTACCCATCACTAACAGCCACCACATTTGTCCACCCTTCATTTCTGTCCATTAAATTTGACAACTAATCATTACACTGTTAATTTTTTTATTTAAACCCTCTCATTCTATTTCAATGCGATGTTCGAACTTTTTAATGTAAATTTAAAATTATTTTATTTAAGCCTTTCAACTTCATAATCAAGTTCGTGTAATCTAATTTATAATTAAGGCCTTACACTTTTTTTGTCTTTAACATTTTTTTTTAATTTATATATAAAAAAAATTACTTTTTCAGTTAAAATAATTTAAAAATAAAAGAAAGTTGAAAATATTGAAAGCAAAAATAAATAAATAAAAAAATAAGATAAAAAATAAATAAATAATAAAAGCCGTATATTTTTAATCTTTAATGAAGTCCCTTTCATTCACTTTCTGCTCTTATTAATTTTATTTATTTTTTATCTTTTTGTTCGTTATGGGGATATAAACTGAAGTAACGTAACTTTGAATAGATCACAGAAGTGAAATGATTTTTTTATCGAATTTGTTGTCACTCGAATCATTTGAATTTGTACCAGTTGGACGATTGGTTTCACCTTCATCTACAACAGTTGTTATCCTGTCATCTAGATGACTAGTGTGAACAAATTCATGCAATTCATACGGCACCAAATTAGATGAATGTAACATTCCTGATCACGAAAATGGGTCAGGGATTTGTGGGGAGGGAAAAATCGAACCCCATTAGAGGCGAGACGGTGGAATGAAAATGGTCTTCGTTAGGGATGAGGAATGGAAATAGAAAAAAATAATAATAATTGGAGATTGGGAACAGAGAGTGTAAAACTCACCCTTCTTGTCTCGTTGCCATTCCTATTTATAACTTCTCCAACTAGTCGGGTAGGAGTTAGGCATTGGCCGGGTCGGACCGGATCAAAATTTTATCACTTTATAAGCAATTTGTGTTGAGCTGATGTAATCAATTTAAGTCAAATCCAAAATTAATAGTATAATATAATTTTGAATTCCAATTATTATATATATTTTTTTTAAATGTGAGCGAACTAATTTTTATGAAATAAAAATTGTATTAAAAAGTCATCCAATCTAACGTTCCAACATACATAAAAATATATAATAATATTTCACTGATTACAAATACTTTAATAATTAAAATATCATGTACTATAATATTATGCATTGAAGCATGAGGATGGAGCATAGCTCGCTTTCGGAGAGTTGAGATACAAGTTTGTAAAATTAATTCAAATTGAATAGATTACAATTGTCCTTTTTTTTTGTTGTTGTGATAAATGCAAATTAAATAGGTTATGATTATTGAATCGATATAATTTTTCTATGTTCACGAAATAAAAAAATGAATTGTCCAACATACTTAATAGTTCAAATTATCAAAACGATATCTATGATAGACATCACAAGACTAAACAGCGCTCTTCAGTTGAAATTATGGACCAAAAAGAATTTCCTCATATAAAATAACTACGTTAGTGATCGGGTTTTTTGTTTTCTCTCTTTAATTTAAGAGTGGCCCGGAGAGAATTCCCTCATATAAAATAACTACATTAGTGATTGTGTTTCTTTTTTCTTTTTCTTTTTTCTTGTTGGAAAAAATGATTTTTGGGGACTTTAATTTAATATTAAAGTGTGGTGACTTTGATTAAATATTAAAGTGGGTCCTAACCATTTTTTATGTTGGGTCCAAGTGAGCCAAAAACCATTGGGTTTTGAATAAGAAATTGCCAAGAAATTGTTTCATGATGTTAGATTCATGAATAGGATTTTAAAAAGTATTTAAATCTTTTTTCTTGGCTAAAAGGTGTGAATTCTTTGGGCATCCATACTTTTCATTTTGTGAAAAGGGGCTATGGATGCTTGGTGTTTTAATGACTAGCCTTAAAGGCTGGAGGCTTTTCCTCTCTCCCCTATACATGTATAAATTGAGACCCTCCTGTCAAGTTTCAATATAGAAATTTTTGCTTCCATTTTACAAGTCAGTTTGCTTGATAGTTCCTATTGTGAGAGAGTGCTGCCATTGTTTTGTTCGCTAAGCTAGACAGATAGTGTTTCTGCCGTAACTGGTTTTGACCGTCATATCCTGGGAGACAGACGCCGGGTTTCCTCAAGCACTCGACCCGTGAGGCGGCGAAATCTGTTTTAAGGAAACTGCTAGCGTGCAGGCTTCAATTTGGTTTCTTTATCATTTTATTGTTTTGTTTATTTCTGTTGAAATTTAGTTGTAATTATCAGCATATGTTCTTGGTATATAATTTGTTTTCTTCATAAATCTATTTATTTAATTTCACAATTTTGAACAACAAGCTTAAAACAGATTTTATATATCTTTTCTATGAAATTGATTGAATAGATTTATATATATTATTAGGTTAGCTTTGTATAATGTTACTAGGAATTGTTGCGGAATTGCTCACTATTTCAATAATTGTAAATTATGCAATGGTACTCTCTAATTGCTTAGTTTAATTAGAATGCTCTATTATAATTTGCATACTTAATTGTATTAGTATGATCTTGTTTTATGCGTATGGTTCATCATTTCCCTACCATGATTTGCATGAATTTTAAGGTTATAAAATATAATTTATGGATGTTGCAATTTTGACATGCTAATTCTATTCTAGTCTCAATTTGTTACATGCTTATTATTTTCTATGCTAGATTACATAATTTAATGTATTTGGAGTTATAGAGTTTTTTTTTTTGAATTGTGTACATGATTAATTTGAATTTAATTGGGTGCATTAATGTGAATTATTTATTTGGGTGCATTAATCTGAATTATTTAATTGGGTGCATTAACTTTGAATTTGACTTATCTATTTGGAGTTATTAGTTTAAATGTTTATTATGAATTAATTTCATTCATGACTCATGAGTATTGAACTTTATTTTAAAGTTGTAATTTAATTTTGAAGTTACAAATTGTATTTTGTTTTGGTACCTTATATTAGTTGGTTACTTATATAATTAATAGTTGGCTAGATGGTTTCAATTATTTATTATAATTAAATTTTTTAGATTATTTGTTTGTATTTGTTGTGGTTTGCTACTAACTTTCTTTGTAGGGATACCAATGCGAAAAACAATTATAAAACCAAATGAACAGTATTTGGGATGTAAAAACAAAAATGTTTGGACTACTAACTTTTGTGTTGAATAGAAATACCTAAGCATGGAAAGGCTTTTGGACTAAATAGAATCCTTATGGATTGGCTATTTTATTTAAATGTTTGAAGCATGTTTTTTGCTTGAGATGTAGTTGGTTTGTTTATCAACTTGTGGTAGCAAGTTTTATTTGCTTGTTTTGTTAGAAGCATTTTATATGCGTGTAATTGTTATAGTAATTTTTTAAATTGTTTGTAAGTTTGGAACTTGGTTTGGTTTTCTGTGATAGAAACCAAAGTTTTAGCTTTGGCTAAAGAGTAGTTCTTATTTGTTCAGAAATGACAACTAAGATGGATTTGGTTTCAAACCTTTGGAGTTTGAGGAAGTCTTTGGGTTTAATCATTTTATTCCCAAAGTGTTGGAAAACCAAATTTGGAGAAAAGTCTTTGGTTATAATATGAGTATGTCCAAAGTGTTTTGGTTTTGAGAAAGGAAACCAAATTTTAGCATTAGCTAAAATATTTTTGATTTTATTCAGAAATAATGGGCTTAGTTCCGGGAGTACCGGTTAACTTTTATGAGTGGTGTAATTCTGGTAGCAAATTTTATTTGCTTGGGAATCGGTTTGTTATAACCTGGTTTATCTTATGGATATCTTAATTTTTAAATTGTTTCCTATGGACTAGGAGTCAACATGCTCTTGAATGTTTTGTCAAAAGGTTAACTGGATTTTAAGTGGGACCGATGTGACCCCTCCAGTCTTCCTGGGAACATTCTTGACCATGTTCGGTTCTAGGTTAAATGGTGAGACTAGTTTTGAATTAAATTTCCATCTAAGGGATTTTCTAAGGGTTAAGTTTATTTTCTGGAATCATAGAAGTGAAATTCTGTTGTGATGTTTCAGAAATGGCTTCAAAAGGTGACAAAC